TTTTTTTTTTTTTTTTTTGAGACAGAGTTTTATTATGTCACCCTGGATAGAGTACTGTGACAGCAGCCTCTAACTCTTGGGCTTAAGCGATTCTCTTGCTTCAGCCTCCCAAGTAGCTGGGACTACAGGTGCCCGCCTTGATGGCTGGCTAAACTTCACTTTCTTATCTGTGTCATTATTTTATTTATACACTTAAGCAGCAACGAATAATCCTTGAAAAGTAAATGTAGCCACATCTATGATTCTCAATTCACTGTTATTACGGTACACAGATATATTTTTACATAGCCTTAATTAATATGTACATAACAATAGTAATATCAAACATGTGGCATTTATTCAGTGTCAGAAACCATTTTCAATACTTTATATCTCTTAGTTCATTAAGTAACCTTCAACAAATGTTCATTTAGCTGTTATATAGGGTTCTGTTAGGTAAATATGTCAAATTTTGCTTAAGTTGACATTTGATTTATAGAATGATTATACAGTACTACACGACTAATAATGAAATATAAATTTTCATTTTGGGGTTTAGCGCCTATAACTCAGCAGCTAGGGTGCCAGCCACATACACTGGAGCTGGTGGGTTCGAATCCAGCCCAGGCCTGCCAAACAACAATGAGAACTACAACCAAAAAATAGCTGGGCATTGTGGCGGGTACCTGTAGTCCCAGCTACTTGAGAGGCTGAGGCAAGAGAATCACTTAAGCCCAAGAGTTGGAGGTTGCTATGAGTTGTCACATCACAGCATTCTACCCAGGGCAACAGCTTGCGACTCTGTCTCAAAAAAGTTTTTTTTTCATTTTGGATTATTCCTATGGAATAGACATGTGGAAGTAGAATTATTAAGTCAAAGGACCTGACAGATGTTAGTCTTGTTGCATGAAGCACTAAGGTCCAGAAAGAGCACTGGCAGGGCTAAGTTTTTTGCTTTTTTTCTTCTTTGCTATAGTGCTGTCGTGTCATAATAGCTCACAGCAAACTCAAATTTTTGGGCTCAAGCGATCCTCTTACCTCCCAAGTAGCTGTGACTATAGGCACCCACCACAATGCCCAAGTAATTTTTCTATTTTTGGGAGAGATGGAGTCTTGCTCTTGCTCAGGCTGGTCTCAAACTCCTTACCTCAAGCAATCCACCTGTCCCAGAATGTTAGGATTACAGGCATAAGCTACAGCACCTAGCTTTCCCTTTGCTCTTATCCAGGAAGTCTGTGTTCTAATCTCATACTCTGCCATCATCCAGCTGGACAAATCTTTTTTTTTTTTTGAGACACAGTCTCACTTTGTCACCCTCAGTAGAGTTCCATAGTGTCATAGCTCACAGCAACCTCAAACTCTTGGGCTCAACCCTCTTGCCTCAGCCTTCCAAGTAGTAGGAACTACAGGCACCCACCACATGCCTGGCTATTTTTACAGACAAATTCTCTCTCTGGCTAAGGCTGGGCTTGAACCTGTGAGCTCAGGCAGTCCACCCACCTCAGCCTCCCAGAGTGTTGGAATTATAGGCGTGAGCTACCATGCCCGGCCTAGCTGGACAAATCTTTGATGATACTGATCTTCATTTTCCTCATTTGAAAATGAAGGAATTGGCTGGGAATGGCAGCTCACGCTTGTAATCCTAGCACTCTGGGAGGCCGAGGTGGGTGGATTGTTTGAGCTTAGGAGTTTAAGACCATCCTGAGCAAGAGCAAGACCCTATCTCTAGTAAAAATAGAAAAACTAGCTGGGCCTTGTGGCAGGCACCTGTAGTCCCAGCTACTTGGGAGGCTGAGGCAAGAGGATTGCTCAAGCCCAAGAGTTTGAGATTGCTCTGACACCACGGTACTCTATCCATGATAACAGAGTAAGACTCTTGTCTCAAAAAAACCAAGAACGGGTGGCGCCCACGGTTCAGTGGGTAGGGCGCTGGCCACATATACCAAGGCTGACAGGTTTGAACCAGGCCTGGGCCACCTAAAACAACAATGATGACAACAACAAAATAGCTGGGCCTAGTGGCAGGAGCCTATAATCCTAGCTACTTGAGAGTCTGAGGCAAGAGAATTGCTTAGGCCGAAGAGTTTGTGGTTGCTGTGAGCTGTGACACTATGGTACTCTACCCCAGGGTGACAGCTTGTGACTCTGTCTCAAAAAAAAGAAAGAAAGAAAATCAAGGAATTGCATTAAATTATCTTTAAAGTCCTCTTCTGTTCTGAGATTCTGTGACTCTATTATCTGAAAACCCTCTGGAGCAATATACTATGCAATTAGCAACATATAAGTTCATTAAATCTCACATAGAAATAGTGGCATCTTAGTAAATGAATTTTATTTTAGCCTCCAAAGTAACTTGGACTTTGGGGGGGGGGGACTTCTAGCTTTGTATTTGTTTATTTTACCATGAAAGACTTATCAACATATGAAAAAGAATGTTTTTCTTTCTCTAGACAGCCTAAATCCAAGTCTGAAATTACTGACATGGTTCGCTCCTCCACGATCACGGTGTCAGACAAGGCTCATATTTTATCGATGCAGAAGTTTGGACTGCGAGACACAATTGTGAAATCACATCTAGTACAGAAAGAAGAGGATTATACCTATATCCAGAACTTCAGGTAGCTAACTATTTTCAAAGGAAAATGATCATTTAGCTTTCTAGAATCCTCTCCTCCCTCCAATAACCCTGGTTTGGAAGCAAATCATCCTATAGAATCTTTCCTCTCTGGCTGGATGCCCGTAGCTTAGTGGTTAGGGCACTGGCCACGTACACTGAGGCTGGCAGGTTTGAACCCGGCTCAGGCCTGCTAAACAACAACAACCACAACAACAACAACAAAAATAGCCGGGCATTGTGGCAGGCGCCTGTAGTCCCAGCTACTGGGGAGGCTGAGGCAACAGAATTGCTTGAGCCTAAGAGTTTGAAGTTGCTGTGAGCTATGATGCCACGGCTCTCTACTGAGGGAGACAAAGTAAGACTCTGTCTCAATGAGAAAAAAATAGAATCTCTCCCTTCCTGTTCAAAATGACTGATCCTGTTCACTCTTCATTAAAGGACATCTATTCCATGCCTTTTCTGGGCAGGCATTATGGCTGGAATGGGGTACTGAGAGTGACACAACTTGCAAAGAGTTACAGAAATATTCACAGAGACAAATTGGTACAGAAGAAGGAACGATACCCTGATTCTTGGGTCTCTCCAAGGATTTACACTCCTTTGGTCATTCTGGGCCTTTGAAGAAAGTCATTTAAAATAAAGTTAGTTGGGCAGTGCCTGTGACTCAAAGGAGTAGGGCGCCGACCCCATATACTGGAGGTGCCGAGTTCAAACCTGGCCCCGGCTAAAAACTGCAAAATAAAATAAAATGAAATAAAGTTAGTTGGTGGTTGGTAATCTTTTTAGGCAAGATAACTGAAAGCTAAATGAGTGAGGGTTGCAGGATTCTGCTAGATCTTTTAAAATCATCGTATCAAGACTACAAGGCAAATAATATTATTTCCA